GAAAACCAAATATGTAAGAGAAAATATTAACAAAGCAAAATACTGATTCTTGGAGAAAACTAGTACAATTGATAAATCCTCTAGCAAGAAAAATTGATACATCCTCTGGCAGGAAAAAGAGAGCAGACACTTATAAATAATATTACCAATGAAAAGGGAGACATAGCTACAGATTCACCAGAGATTAAAAAGAGAATATTATGAACAATTTTGTGACAAATTCTTAGAAAAAATATGTTTTACCAATAGAACTAAATAAAGAAAAAACAAAAGCCTAAATAGTCCTATCAGCCAGGTGCAGGCTCACGCTTGCAATCCCAGCACTTTGGGAGACTGAGAGGGGCAGATTGCTTGAGCCCAGGAGTTGGAGATAAGCCTGTGCAACATGGCAAAACCTTGTATCTACAAAAAACAGAAAAACAAAAGTTAGCTGGGTGTGGCAGTGCACACTTTGTAGTCCTATAGCTACTCAGAAGGCTAAAGTGGGAAAATTGCCCAAGCCTGAGGAGGTCGAGGCTATACTGAGGAGTAACTACACCACTGCACTCCAGCCTGGACAACAGAGTGAAATCCAGTGTTAATAAAACAAAACAAACAATCAAATAGTTCTACAATTTTTTTTTTTTTTTTTTTTTTTGGAGACGGAATTTCACTGCTTGCCCAGGCTGGAGTGCAGTGATGCAATCCTGGCTCACTGCAACCTCCACCTTCCGGGTTCAAGCGACGCTCCTACCTCAACCTCCTGAGTAGCTGGGATTACAGCCTTGGCCTCCCAAAGTACTGGGATTACAGGCATGAGCCACGCCTGGCCCCTATATAACCATTTAAAATACAGAAAGTTGTTGTTGTTGTTGTTGTTTTCCAATGTCTCAAAAAAATATCAGGCCCATATGGCTTTACAGGTAAGTTTTACCGAAGTTTCAAAAAACAGATCAACCCAAACTCATGCAAACTCATCCAGTCAACAAAAAATGAAGGAAAACACCCCAACCCATTCTATGAGGATAGTATAACCAAGACCCACATGAAACAGTAACAGAAAGGAAACTTACAGGTAACCACAGTCATAAAGATTTATCTTGAACAAAATGTTGCATCAAAATCCAAAAACTTATTTATTTATATTTATTTATTTATTTTAGATGGAGTCTTGCTCAGGCTGGAATGCAGTGGTGTGATCTCAGCTCATTGCAACCTCTGCTTCCCGGGTTCAAGCGATTCTCCTGTCTCAGCCTCCCAAGTAGCTGGGATTACAGGCACCTGCCACCGCACCCAGCAATTTTTGTAATTTTAGTAGAGACAGGGTTTTACCATCTTGGCCAGGCTGGTCTTGAACTCCTGACCTCGTGATCCACCCGCCTCAGCCTCCCAAATGCTGGGATTACAGGCATGAACCACCATGCCCCGCCTTTTAATTTATTTATTTATTTATTTATTTATTTTAGAAAACCCAGTAACTTAAAAAAATACATATATCAAGAACAAGGCCAGGCACGGTGGCACGGTGGCTCACCCCTATAATCCCAATACTTTGGAAGGCTGAGGCAGGTGAATCATTTGAGGTCAGGAGTTTGAGACCAGCCTGGCCAACATGGTGAAACCCCACCTCTACTAAAAATATAAAAATTAGTCAGATGTGGTGCGTGCCTGTAATTCCCAGGTACTCAGGAGGCTGAGGCAGGAGAATCACTTGAACCTGAGAGGTAGAGGATACAGTGAGCTGATGTCGTGCCAGTGTGCTCCAGCCTGGGCAATACAACAAGACTCCGTCTCAAAAAAAAAAAAAAGAACCAGTTGAATTTACCTCAGAATAAGAAAGACAGTTTAACGTAATTAGAACTACAAAACAATTAACCACATTAATGGATTAAAGACACCCATACTATTATCCCCACAGTTGCAGAAAAAGCTGTTAGTAACTTCATTCAGGCTGAAATGAAGGATAAAAATTCTCAGCAAACTCAGAAAATAAAAACTCACTTAAACTGACCAAGGGTATTTATCAAACATCTAAAGCAAACTTCAATGTTAATGATGAGATATCATTCTCAAGATCATTGATAAGGAGCCAGGTGCAGTGACTCACACCTGTAATCCCAGCACTTTTGGGAGGCCAAGGCAGGCAGGTCACCTGAGGTCAGGAGTTCGAGACCAGCTTGGCCAACATGATGAAACTCAGACTCTCCTAAAAATACAAAAATTAGCTGGGTGTGGTGGCGGGCGCCTGTAGTACCAGCTACTTGGGAGGCTGAGGCAGGAGAATGGCTTAAACCCGGGAGGCAGAGGTTGCAGTGAACCGAGAATGTACCACTGCACTCCAGCCTGGGTGACAGAGAGACTCTGTCTCAAAAAAAAAAGGAAAAAAAAGATCATTGATAAAACAAGTAAGTATCTACTGTTTCTATTCAAACTAGATATTCCTACCTATAACAGTAAGACAAAAAAAAAAGGAAGAAACTTGTCATCATTTGAATGTTATATGATTAGCTATACAGTAAACAAAAAAACCTATAGGCATCATATTAGAATAAATCAGAAAATTTAGCAAGATTATAAATCAATACACAAGATCAATACTCAAAAACCAACTCTGTTTCTATAAACCAAACAGAAAATACAATTTTAAAAAAATGCTATGTAAACAAATTAAAAGATATCAAGCAAAAGGTTTCTTAGGGATGGAGAGGAGTGGGAAAGGGTGGGAAGAAAGGAGAATAAAAGGATGGGAGGAAAGGAGAATAAAGGGACACCAGGAAACTTCTGGAAATAATGAACATGGTCACTATCTTGGTTGCAGTGATGGTTTAATGGGGGAATACAGCAGTAAAGTGTATGTGGAGAAAAAACACTTGTACACTGATGTGAATGCAAAATGGTACATCGACCTTGAAAAACAACTTGGTATCATCTTGCGAAAGTAAATGTGTATGTCCTAGAGCCCAGTAACTGAGCTCCAAAGTGTATACCCAATAGTAGTATTTCTCAAGGAGGTCATTATAGGAATTGTGGATTGAATAGTTCTTCACTGTCCCCTGTGCAGAACTCTCTAATACTCTGCATATCTTAATCTCTCTGCCTCTGCCTTTAAATGCCAAGAGTGTCCCCTACAGCAAAGATAATGTTATTCACCAATCACTCTATCTAATTCTTCACATTTCTCAGACCCCTTGCAATTAAGGTGGAGTGATGTGACTAGTTCTGGCCAAAGAGCCATGGAGAGAAGTGGCATGTGTCACTTCTGCATCTAAACATACAAAGCCCATGAATGATGCTCCAGTTACCTCTTCCCTTGCCAAAGCAACAAAGGGAAGTATAAAAGAGCCAAGACTTCATCAGGCTGGGTCCCTGAACAACTGTGTGACAAAAGAAACTCCCACACCCCAAACCCACCGACCCACAACAGACACATAATGTGAGAAATAACTGTTATGACCAGTCACTAAGATTGGGGGGAAAAGAGGGGTGTTACCATGGCATTACTTAAGCTTATATTAACTGATATGTTCACTGTTCAATCATCTGACCATCAAACATTCCTACATATAACCAAATGTCCCTCCAGCATAGTAACTCCACTTGGAAACTACTGTCTTAGAAAAAGTACTTGCGTATCAGGAGGCATATCAACATAAGACTATAGCAGCAACATTGTTTATAACAACAAACTGAAAGCAACCCAAATGTCCATCAGCAGGAAAATTACTTAAGAAATTATGAAAATTGTGGAATGTTTAGAGTAGACATTATAGACAAATGAAAACCACATAAGTAACATGTAATCTTATTATGAAACACTGTATTAGGTGAATAAAATCAATTACAGAAGACCAGAGCAATGTATCACTTTTATACACATCAAAAACAAGCAAAATATAGATACATGGTAAAACTTATTTCGAAAAAGGAAAAAATGATGAATACACATTCTAGGACAGTGAATCCTTCTAGGGCTAGGGGAGGCAATGAGACATACGTAAAGAGAACACAGGTAGAAGAAACACTGGTATTGATATCGCTACAGTTCCTACATTCAGTAGTGGTTAACAATTCTTCAATTTATTATACTTCATAATTTAACAAATATTAATTAAAGTACAATATTATCTGGCCAGCCAGGGTGGTTCACACCTATAATCCCAGCACTTTGGGAGGCCGAGGTGGTCGGATCACTTGAGGTCAGGAGTTCAAGACCAGCCTGGCCAACATGGTGAAATCCCGTTCCTACTAAAAGTACAAAAATTAGCCAGGCATGGTGGTGCGCACCTGCAGTCCCAGCAACTCAGGAGGCTGAGGCAGGAGAATCACTTGAACCCGGGAGGCAGAGGTTACAGTGAGCCAAGATCGCACCACTACACTCCAGCCTGGGCAACAAAGCAAGATCGTCTTTCAAAAAAAATAATAATAATACATTATTTAAAAATCTATGTTAAATTCTATAGGACAAGTTAAATATAACATTAAAACCACATAATATAAATGTATCTATTAAATACTCTTTCAATAATCAAATTTTGAGAGTTTTATTTAACAACAAAGCCATATATGTAAAGTAATGACCATGCTCAAGTGCTATGAAACCACAGCAATTATAACTAGGTTATGACCAATCTATCTCACTCCTTATTTCTAAATCTATAGCTCTTCTATATCTAAATTAAAAAGAAAAAAATAAAACTCCTTTCATTTATACTCTCAGTTTTTCTCTGACAACAGAACAGGATTAAAAAAAAAAAAAGACAAAAATTAATGAAAGCTCAAACTGCAAGAAATCAATTATTTTTCCCTAACTCAGTCAACAGATATTAAAGACTCAGTTTTTCAATGTAGTCAATTATTTTTAAAGGCATAGTGTAAAACAGGTTTTACAAGTTTTGCTTGTGAAAATAGGAAGCTATTAACTTTCAATTCACTCAATGGTAGAAGTCCATCCAGTAATAGGCCTGGGAAATGGGACAAGTCTCTAGTACTGAATGAAAATGCTAATTATAACCGGATCTGCTGACCTTATCTGAACATTCCATGTGCTTTCCTGCCTCTGCCTGCATGAGCATAAAAATCTTTCTGACCATCTCCTTCACATGTCAAAAGACTTTTCATCCTTCAAATTCCATCATAATTGCTACCTCTTTCATTACAAAATTCCTTCTTACCTGACAAAATGTAATCTCTCCTTCCATTAATCCCCCACAGTACTTTTCTGCACCTTTCTTACAACAGATATCATTGCGCCTGCTTCATCTTCTGATACAAAATTATAAGCTATTCAAAGGCGGAGGATTACTTAGCTATGTTAGTATTTCTGGGGTGCCAGGCACAGTGCCTTCCCCAAAGAGGATACTGAATAAATAGTTATATTAGATGTGCCTATGCAAACACCCAGCATCATAGAAAAGAGAGAGACTGTTGACCTAACAAAGCATCAAACATTAAATATGCATTTTTAATAACCTATGGTGGTAATACAGATGATTATTTTTTCAGTAATCCATCTATCCATAGGGCAAAATCTTAGCATATCAGTCACTAACTTTTCAATGCTCCGACAAAAGTTAAGCAGCAGTGGATTCAAAATGAACGACTAAAATCGATCTAAATGCACCTTGCACAGCCTGACCAAAACCTATTTTTGAAAATGATCAAGTATTAGCCTTCTTAAAACTAGAATAGAGAGGAAAAAACTAACATAGGCTATTTATTCATAAGGAAAGACTACAAGAATGTGCTTGCTACACAGCAGTGAACAACAAAACCATTTATTACCACACACATCTGGTCTTACTTCCTTCACTTATAACCCTTGAAACAGATCAGACATTTAGACATTTGCCAATTAACAAATGGTGTACTTAGGCCAGGAACAGTGGCTCACACCTGTAATCTTGGCACTTTGGGAGGCCAAAGCGGGTGAATCACAAGGTCAGGAAATCAAGACCATCCTGGCTAACCCGGTGAAACCCCGTCTCTACTAAAAATACAGAAAATTAGCTGGATGTGGGGTCATGCGCCTGTAGTCCCAGCTACTTGGGAGGCTGAGGCAGGAGAATCACTTGAACCCGGGAGGCAGAGGTTGCAGTGAGCTGGGATCGCGCCACCACACTCCAGCCTGGGAAACAGAGCAAGACTTCATCTCAAAAAAATAAAATAAAATAAGAAAAAAAGAAAAAGAAAGTATTTGTTTAACGTTCCCCCAACGTTCAATGACCCATTTTCTCATCCAAATCCTAATTTCCATTTATTAACATATTATATTACTTAAAACTCAAGAAATATGACATATAACTATGGTGATGCTACCCTTACCAATGCTTGGGACTTTATTAATAACTCTGACAAAGAAAAGAATATAACATTTTCTCAAGCAATCTGGTTCTATTTTATAAATAATAGCAATAAAATAGTTAACATACCCAAAGCAAAGAAACCAATAATGTCAAAAATATATCAGTTGCATCACATTTTCTCCAAAATGAGAAACATTTAAGATTCAAAATTTATAACTAGGCACTTACTTAAGCACTATAGACTCAAACCTTCAGCATGTGTCAATGTTTCTAAATTCACAAATTTAAGGATCAGTAGACTCTACTAGAAAATGTACGCTTAAGACACCAACTCATAAGTAATCAATTTGTCATCTAAACTCTGAAATATGACAATGAAATTCTACCTATTTTATGTCCAGTAGGTACAATGCACATAACTCATGAAGCAATGATCATCAAGGCCTCATATGAGCCAATGGCACTGTTTTTTCTCCACAGTTCCACCAACTGACAACATCCACAATAGGAACTGAATAAGACCTCAGATGAGTCAAAAATCATCTACCCCACATCACAGAAATGGCTTAAAGTAAGGTCCTTACTGATGCTGGGAAACCTGTTAGTATTTTGCTTGTTTTAAACTTAATTTTCGGCCTGGCACGGTGGCTCACACCTGTAATCCCAGCACTTTGGGAGACCGAGGCGGGCAGATCACTTGAGGTCAGGAGTTCAAGACCAGCCTGGCCAACATGGTGAAACCCCGTCTCTACTGAAAGTACAAAAATTAGCCAGGTGTGGTGGTGCATGCCTGTAATCCTGGCTGAGGCAGGAGTATGGCTTGAACTCAGGAGGCAGAGGTTGCAGTGAGCTGAGACCATGCCACTACACTCAAGCCTGGGCAACAGAGCAAGACTCCGACTCAAAAAATAAATAAATAAACAAACTAACTAACTAACTTACTTACTTTTCCACCAATCAGTGGCAGAACATGCATCTTTCCGGTCAAGCTGTCTTTCACAGATGATACTATCAGGCAGGTCCCACACAGGATGACTTGGCGTCTTGTCCATCGGTTCACTGGCAACTGCATTTTGCCTTTACGGACATTATACATTCCTGAGAGCTGAATCCGTTCAGAGCTACCCGTGCTGTGAGGTTTTCCTGAAATAAACACAAGCAAACATGTTATTCTTTTAAAATGGAAGCTTTTCCTACTCATCTGCATACCAGATATAAGAACTGGACAACAAGGGAATAATTCAAGGGAAAATTATAAATTCAATCTAATTTATAATTGAGATGACAACTGTCATAATGGAATTATGTTAAGAACTACATCTCCACATGTACACTTAATATTAAGTGAAAAGCCTTTTCCATAAAATCCTAGGAAAACACCATTTTAACTCTCTGTTTTAACTGGAGTTTTCTTTTTTATTTGAGACGGAGTCTCGCTCTGTCGCCCAGGCTTGAGTGCAGTGGTGCGATCTCAACTCACTGCAACCTCCACCTCCTAGGTTCAAGCAATTCTCCTGCCTCAGCCTCCTATGTAGTTGGTCTACAGGTGCCGGCCACCATGCATGGCTAATTTTTTTTGTATTTTTAGTAGAGATGGGGTTTTACCATGTTGGTCAGGCTTCTGATCTCGAACTCCTGACCTCAGGAGATCTGCCCGCCTCAGCCTCCCAAAGTGCTGGGATTACAGGCATGAGCCACTGCACCCGGGTTGGAGTTTTATTTTCTTGCATATCTTTCACAATTTAATTTTACGTTTGAAAAGACTTCACGATATTTATGAATGGACAGAGTTATTTAAATACACTAAGAAGAAAGTATTACAGCCTGAGATAGGAGAATAACATCCAACAACTTACATTTAATAAAACTAATCAGTTTAATAAAATTAACTGCGGATATTTTTCCTTCTACAGATATTCAATGTGTATTTACTGTAAAGAAAACATTAGAAAGGAAATATTTTTCTTAAAAAACACTATTATTTCCTATTAGAAGTACTATCCCAGCAATCCATGAAGAATGGGTCCTACAATACTTATGACTCATGGTAAGGAGCACAGAAACAGAGAAATAAGAAATGAGGCTGAAAGGCAGAAAGAGATCTGAGAAAGGTCTAAAGAGTCTTTACTTCCCAAATGGAAATGAATTTGGCAGAATTAGTCAGGCAAGTCCTATCAACTTAATGGGAGAACTACTGTGATTGACACAAACATAGTGACAGAGTCATATAAGCAACCAGAAAAGTATTTCTACATTTCTAGATACTGAATAGATAATTTCAAAGAGTACCAAAGCCTCTTCCCAGAGATAAGTTAATAAGAGATATATGTACTATAGTAGGACTCCAGTCAGGAATAACATATTTATTTAGAAGTTGGACTAGTTGCCAAGGGCTAGCAAAAGAAATAGGTTCAAGATAAATTACATTCTTATTAATATTAAAAATCAGCATAAATAGCAAGTCGTTTTGATACATGTCTAATACTTATTAGACAGGGAACAGGAAGAACAACAGCTCTAAAAATAAATAACAAGAAACTCCAAAGAGTATCTGAACCTTCCCAATACATACTTTGGGCACAGATGTTAGGAAATAAGCCACAGGTTTGAATTTCACTTCTTCTTTCTCCCAGTAGATCAAAATGTTTTATAAAATAAATACTTCACACCACAAAATTTTGCTGAGGCTGGGCCAGGATGAAGTATAACAGTGATTCAGCTACTTGAACCAGATGCCCAGCAAACAGCTACACTGTTAGAGCTCTCACTGGAAAGGTACTGTATTGTTTGTCTACCACATGTTAGTTTTCCCACAAATGAGTAGGGAGCCCAGAAGACTATTCAAAACAGATGTGAGATGTGACAAGCCAAGGGCTGCCAATGATGGATGAGACACAGTGATTCATACGTCCCATTCTGCACAAGCTCATTTATACCTAGAGAGGAAGATGCCTGGGTTTCCAATCTAAGAGCTCCTTACTATATGACAGACTCTCTTCCTGTGGGGAAGGAGAAAGAAGAAAAGACAAAGAATAATAAAAATGAAAAGCAAATGAAGGACTAAAAACAATGGACAATAGGTTACCGGGTTTCCAAAATCCAATTTCCTTGACATAATAAACGAATGCTAAAAAGGGATCTGATCTGATCTACACACACACACACACACACACACACACACACAAAATAAATGCAAAGAAGTAGGCATTTTATTCCGTCCATCAGAGAGTGGCTTCAAGAATACTTGTTAACCTGTAACATTTATGCAGTTCTTTGAAGAACCAGAGACTGGAAAAAAAGAGAATAGGGGTACATGAGGGCTGGCCCTTCAATTCTCCAACTCCATATATATCCTACAGAAAGCCCTAGAGCAAATCACCAGACAGACTGGACAAAGGCCAGAAGGGATCTTTAACAGAAGAGTATGGATACATCAGTAGATTCTGGCTCTTTATTCCCTAGTCAGAAAAATTCCCAAGAGTTCTGAATTGTCCTGGAGCCCAAGAGTCAGATCAGCCTGTCCTTGGAAAACCCTGAACATCCCAGTCTGAATCAAATCCCTCTGGTCTTGCTCTGAATGAATTTCAATATCCCTATTGTCTGTCCTCTCCCTGGGTGTCCCAGATCAGACACATCCTTAGGACGCGGCTGTGTACTAAGTGGGTCCTGAGGAATATGGAGATGAATGAGGTAATATATACCTAGACAATCACCCAGGTGCACCCTCCTTTTTATCAGACTTCCTTGTTCTATGACATAAGGAATTATTTTTGCTCTTCCTGCCAATATTCAAATTCCTCAACTCAGAGGAATTCCAGTTGCCCTATGCTCTAATAAACACTGACAATACCAAAGTAATTCATGTCTGCCAGTTTAAAGCTGGGTCAGTTGTAACTTTCACTTTAGAAATGTTACTCTAATTCCCTACAGGCTTAAGGCACTTTTACATGATCCAGGAGGAAAAACAGACAGCAAAAGCAAACATTTCAAGCTGAGACAGAAACACAACAACACAGAGTGATTTGAAAACATATTCATATACTTCCTCTTTTACTTACGCACTTGGCACATGGTAGGTAAGGTGATCTATACTAGTCTATTTAAAAACCAGGCATGGCCCACTAGTTGGGCCCACTTGTAGAAAATTACAGCACAATGCTAAAGAATCAAACTAGGGTCTCTGGATTATTTTATTTTATTTTATTTTATTTATTTATTTTTTTAGACAGAGTCTCACTCTGTCGCCCAGGCTGGAGTGCAGTGGCATGATCTCGGCTCACTGCAACCTCCGCCTCCCAGGTTCAATTGATTCTTCTGCCTCAGCCTCCAAGCACCTCAGACTACAAACAAATGCCACCATGCCTGGCTAATTTTTGTATTTTTAATAGAGACAGGGTTTCCCCATATTGGCCAGGCTGGTCTCAAACTCCTGACCTTGTGATCCACCCACCTCAGCCTCCCAAAGTGCTGGGATTATAGGTGTGAGCCACCGTGCCTGGACAGCCTCTGGATCTTGATTACATACTCAAGGCTCCTCTCCCACACCAAAATGACAGTTCTTATTTCACATAGTAAAATTGTTTTTTAAAGAGGGGGCAAAAAAGAGCATGAAATGTCTTATAATCCACTATGCTAGATGCTAGAGGTATCAAGAAAATGTTCTCTGCGTCAAATTGGTTAAAGCAAAATCTCTAAAAACGTAGTCCAAAAACCATATAAAGCAAAATATCTAAAAATGTAGTCCAAGGACCATATATATTAGTATCACTTAGATTTCTGTCTACTACCACAGCCCTAGATTTGAAATATTGGTAGCCAAGGCCTGAGACCTACATTTCAGTAACCACAAATAGATGGTTATATTTTGTGACCATAAATCTAAAATAATAAAATAAGTCATTCCCCAAGGTCAGCTTATTTTCTAACAAATGTATTCCTCACATTCATGAATTCAGGATTCTAATTGTCATCTCCGTAAGTAAGCTAGTTCAACCTTTTCACGTCATATAAAACTACCTTAAAAATACGATGAAAGCAATGGACCTCCAGGAAAAAAAAAAAAAAAAAAAACTTTAATATGCACAGACATCAGATTTGGCAGATAACTGTAGCAGATTTATTTGACCATATCCACGAGAAAAAAGGATGGTGAAATCACTCAATAACAAGAGCCTATTCCCATTTCCTTAAATCACATTCCAAAGATGAGGAAGGGGTGGGTTAAAATTAACTTCTCCTATAGCCAAATTTATTCTTACAAAATTATTTCTACTTTAATTGGCTTATTACTTTGTCTTTGATCTTTCTTATCTCTTCCTTCACATAGTTTACCTATCTCAGGAGGCCTAGCCCACGTAGCAAACTATTTAGACAGATAATATTTACCTTGACAGACATTTTTTCCAATAAAAAAAGCTCACTGAGTATTATAGTGATAGGTCTACTGTAATCACTATAATTAAAAATGTATCTGGGCTGGGTGCAATGGTTTATGCCTGTAATCTCAGCACTTTAAAAGGCCAAGGTGGGAAGACTGCTTGAGCCCAGAAGTTCAAGACCAGCCTAAGCAACATAGTGAAACCCCGTCTCCATAAAAAAGTTAGCTGGGAGTGGTGGCAGGCACCTGTAGTCCCAGCTAATCAGGAAGTAGAGGTGTGAGGACTGCTTGAGCCCAGGAGGTCAAGGGTGCAGTGCACTATGATTGTACTACTGCACTCCAGAGCCTGGGAGATGGAGTAAGACCTTGTCTTTAAAATATATATATATATATTATATGAATAAATATATATTATATAAAATATGTAAATAAATAAATATATAAGTATATATTATATAAATATATAGTATATATTTATATATAGATATTAATATATCTATATACATACACTGGTTTTTAAAGTATTTACAGTTTTACATCAGAAAGCCAAAACTAACATCTTAACCAAAAAGTAAAACATTATTTTGGAAAGTACACATTGGACTGGACACAGTGGCTCATGCCTGTAATCTCAGCACTTTGGGAGGCTGATGTGGGTAGATCACTTGAGGTCAGGAGTTCGAGACCAGCCTGGCCAAGATGGCAAAACCCTGTCTCTACTAAAAATATAAAAATTATCCAGGCATGGTGGCGGGCACCTGTAGAC